TATATATATATATATACTGCTTTCTTCAGCATTACCTGACCAGTAATAGTGCTACAGGGAAGATGTACCCATCCTGTTCATGTTTCCAGGCCCAGGATAAAAGTAACTTCCCTTGCCATTCATGCCTCCTTAGGTCACTGGACCTCTCCTATGCTGCGGGGGTGTTATGATGTGGTTTGGGTTTGGCGTTCACTTGGCGATTGTAATATTTGTGGAAGGTTGTGTTGTTGTGAGTCTATCTTCGGCACCACAGGCGCCTGTGTCAAATAAGAAGTACTGTAGGGAGAAGCGCAGCAGGTGCAACAATAATTAGCTGTCAAAACTGGGATGTTTTTGTATTTCTGTATTCGTTGGTGGTGGCTTCTGCCCAAGAGAAAGAAAGCAGTTAAAAGCAGCGTAGAAATAAAACAAATATTGCTGTTTCCATACTTCAAACTATCGGGAAGGTAGCAGAACGTCAAAATAATTACTCAAGCGTGCGGTGAAAAGACGAGAGAAGAAGCAGCGGTTAAACTGTTCACAGTAAGTAAAACATGACTGCTCCGCAACATAGGAGAGGTCAAGCCACCTAAGGAGGCATGAATGGCAAGGGAGGTTACTCTAATCTTGGGCCTGAGAACGTGAACAGCACTGATGTACCATACAACAGTATTTTTTTCTAACCAAACATAATGTGTAGTTGAAACATCTCGACCAGTATGTCGCATGTCTACTCTAAGTCTTGTCTAAAGAATCTAATTACTAAAGTATAATCACCTCACTTGTGGGATCACTCTGTTGTTATGAGTAGGATCTCCATGACTGAATGTTCATGAGCCAACTAATTGTGTAGGCTGCTTGACAAACTAACCTCATGTGGTTCTAGTGTTGCAGGACATATGTATGTACCTTTCTATATATACTTTGTTTAACCTATTGCAACACCTCATCCTCCTCTTCCTTTTCTTCCTTCTTCCTTTTAACTCCAGGTAAAGCATAAGTCCTTAGACATCTCTCACTAATCTTTCAGTAGATTTTCCTGATTGATCGCATTCTGCAATTAAAATTGCCTAAGGGATCAGTTTGCTAGTTTAAAAGAAACCACCCTTTTTTGCCTCTGAAGACATGCATGGTAGATTCAATCTGTATCCTATTCATGTCACTGTTGACACATAAGGCATTCACGAATGATCTCCTTGGGAATCTCCTAGGTGGAAGTGGTCAAACCTTTAGCCTCTGTCTGCACCATTCATTTCACGAGTGCAATGTTTATTGAGATCCCTGGGGACCATCATTGGAGCTATGGAGTTTGTGCTTTGTGCACTGCTCTCGTCAAGCAGCTAGCCATTCTGCGGAGAGAGACCAAGCCATATAGGAAAAAAACCAGGGGCATTAAAGTAAATCCTCTTGACTTTCACCTTTAACCTTTGAATGATCAACTTTGCTGCTCGTCTGCTGCTTTTGTGCCTATGGTATCCCATGTCATTTTGCTTACCTTCATTTCCCATTCTACTTTCCTTCTCCAGTTACCTTAGATCTGCCCGGTCTCCTTTTTCCGTGGTAGATTACAGTGTTACTGTTCATTGCTTCCTGTATGCACCCCAAGAGCCATAGTAAATAAACTTCTATCTTTCTACTTCTTTCTATGGGTGCCGATCAGTACATTTTCTGTTACTTGATTAATTTAAGCGCCATAGTAGTGCAGTGGCTAGCGTGCTAGTATAGTGTTTTGTGTCCAGATCTTTATTAATGTTTAAACATTGACCTGAGTTCGCAGATTGACCTAGCCAGAAATTTATACTAGAGAATGACCTGTGAAGTAAAAGAAATCAATGATTTGTTAAACACATAACCACTTGTTAGGTGCTATTTGATCTAAAAAGAATAGAGAATTTGAAGCTCAAGTGTTTAAAAAAAAAAAAAGCTACGTACCCTCTTAACAGAGCCGTCATAGTGTAGTAGCTAGAAGCTCACCTGCAGATCTGAAAGTCATGGGTTCAAAATCTGAACGGAGTTGACTTATTTTAAGAATGTACCTTGGCTCCCAGGTGGACCCAACCTTAAAAAGGTACCAGGTAAAGTCCTGGGAAGTAAACGTGACCTGCATGATGTCAATCACATCCGCCATGAGTGCCGGTTGGTCAGTAAAATATAGGTTTAGCACTATTATACCCAATTATGCATGAAGGCATGGAGAAGAATGCTTTACATTTTACGTTGGTAACACATAAGTGACAGTGTTTCTAGTGTATTTTAAACACTTGACAATGCTTCTTTTACAGACCGGCCAAACATTTATCTTGTGGAGCGGCTTTTTGCCAGTAGTCTAGTTGCTTTAGTCAGCAATGATCATCCACGAAAACTCGATGTTTGTCATTTTAAAAAAGGCTCAGAGATTTGCAATTACTCGTACTCAAACGCCATTTTGGCTGTCAAGCTTAACAGAATGGTAAGTCCTTTTCATTTCTTGTTTTTAGTATTTAAAAGTGATTCTTTTCATATTTTGAATATCATTATCTTTGAAGGAATGAATGAATCAAGAATTGACATCACTGCAATTGAGACATTCCCATATTTGCCCTACCCCTTTTCTCAGTAGCCAACAAAGAGTTCTGATACTGATGTTGCTACCTGATTAAAAGTTCGCCTGTTTTTTCCCCTTTTGGAAAAAAAATCATCGAGATACTTTTCTCACTCCCAGATGAATCCTTCTCTGCAGATATGCCTGCTGTGTCTGTTCTGCTGCACTGTTTACTTTTTCTTTTAGAGCTTTTACCATGTCCACTTTTCTGTAAAGTAGCTCACTGTCCAGAAGTGGTAGCAGCGAATCCATCAGCCTGCTAGTTACTATGTACACATAAATATCCTGGGCCCCCAAAAAATGCACTGTATGCTTCTTTTTCTTCTTGTGCATGTTATATAGAGCCAGTTTTAACATACAGATGTGAATCCTCAACATTTAATAAACAAGCTGAACAATATCTTGTGACCTCAGAGATGTGGTTTTACAGAAGAATCCTTAGAATTCCTTAGACAGCTAAAAAGAACAACATAGATTTTTTTAAAGAAACATCAGAAAGTTGTCATGTTATGAAAAGAGGGAACGGGATTAATTTGTGACCACTGGAAAGATCTGGGGAAAAAGAATCAGAGAAAGATAGCACAAGAAGATTCTTGACAGCCTTTTGTTATAGCATGGAGGGGTGTCAGCACACAAACTGATACACACAGTTGGCGGATCACAGATTATGGAGAGGCATGATCACCCACACAAGTCGGCAAGACACTTGATGATGATAATGACCATTTGTTTCTGCTCTTATCAAACAATGCAAGCCACCCTGAGTGCAAGACACAAGTTTCTATTGTCTGAAGTGTGCTTTGCAAGTCACTTATAATTACAGCCTGTCAGCCTGTGTAACTCTCCAGCCATCGAAAAGCTGCCACATTTCTGTCATGATACCACAGTGAGTTGCAGGCCTGATGGTTATGTCTTTGAAATCTCTACTCAGGGCAGGCGTTTAAAAAACATTTGAGGGAGCTTCTCGGTCAACCCATTTTAGAATGGGTACAAGGAAATGTTCTTGGAAGTAAAGGTAGCTGGCATGATATTGACCACACCATGCTTTGAATGCCTGTTGATCTAAAAAACACACAGCTAGCACCATATACCCAATTCTTTGCTTATGTGAATATATATATATATATATATATATATATATATATATATATATATATATATATATATATATATATATATATATATATATATATGTGTGTGTGTGTATATATATATATATATATATATATATATATATATATATATATGTGTGTGTGTGTATATATATATATATATATATATATATATATATATATATATATATATATATATATATATATATATATATATATATATATATATATATTCTTTGCGTGCTGGAACAGAGAAAACTGGAATAGATTGTGACAGTAGGAAAGTTAGAGGAGAAGCAGAGGGAGACCAAGAGATAATATGCTGGACAGTTTGACATCATGGTATGGAGAATCATCTGTGTAAGAGTTGACAGAAAGTACATGAGACAGAAGGTTGCGGATAGACATGACAACCAGCGCCACACGGCATGGTCTTTTAGAAGAATAATATATATATATATATATTCCTCACCAACACAGGACTGCAGGCTACACCAAGCTAAGTTTAAAATCCTAAAATTTTAAAATCAGTCAAATAAAAGTTAGTCTCCCCACAGAAAGTAGGTCATGTTCCATTGATAAATTTCTTGGATTGGTCTAACCTGCTTTGGGTTATGTAGATGTTTTTGGAGTGTTAAAAGTGCTGGCATGCTAAAATATACAACACCCGATGCCAACAGCATTGCGGACACCCCCCAGTGAACTTGTACCAAGGTTTCATGGTTTAAGGTTGACCAATCAGAAGTTAGCTAGGCTGAAGGTCAACCAATTAGAAGTGAGCTGGGGTGTACCGGCGTGTAGATGGGGGGACTAACGTTTGTTTCACATTAAAATTGTTTGAGATTGAGCAGCGTATCTGGGATTACCCTGTTAGTCTACCGTACAGATTTAGATTTTGTAATCTCAGGGTGTCACTCATTCAAGTAGCATTCCAGAGGGGAGAAATCACATGCATGCATATGCACCTTGCTTATGAGGAGAATGGTGTCGCGGGGAGGGACCAGGGGATGTGGCCAATGCTCAACACTCAAGGGAAAGGCGAGACGGATATACAATCAGGCTGATACTAGTACCATAGGATTTGGATTTCTGAGCTAGCTGGTGAAGATGCAGAATGTCCTGAGTGCTGTAATATAGATTCTAAATATTTAGCATTCAACATATTTTCAAATAGATAGTTAGATCCTTTCCCTGCTACTAAGCCCCTCCCCCCCCTTCCTTTTTCCCCCCATTAGCCGTACACCACTGTGATAGGCCAGACGAGTGCTAATCCTTTCTCCTTTGCCGAATGCTTTTTTTTACTGCAAGCACAGATAACGCACAGGCAGTGCTGGTTAAAAATTGTGCACCTAAAATAAAAACTTGTTGACTGACAACCTTCCTTTGAAAAGAAGTAGATACTCATCAACAACAGCAACATCTTGATAAGATAAAAATGCACCTCGGAAACTATCAATCATATGTCTAATTTATGAAAGGTCTGTCGCCACCTGCATCAGCACATTTGTCTGAGAAATGAAACATTCTTAACAATAATAAAAATCCGTCCCTCAACATAACTTCACTGAACATGGGCATTCTCAGTAAACAGTCTTCGGTCCAATATTCATTTAGTTTGATTTTCTTTGTTCTGGGCATTAGCAGACATGCAGCAAAAAAAAAAAATATTTGTCTAAATCTTTATCTGTCCATCGGCAAAGATGAGAGCTTACAGTAGCAGGTGATTTCACAGTTACATCCTTGCCGAATCTGTTTAATTAATCTGAAATGAAAGTCACAAGCAATTCAGTTGGAAAGAAAAATAAACATTAAAAACAAATGGCTAATAAAGCACTGAGCTGTTTTTACTCACAGCAGCAGAAATACCGCCAGAGCTGGAGTTATCAAAATTATGTACAACGGGTCTCACGTAAGCGAAAGGGTTACATGCAACATTTTCCTTAATGTTTACCTGTACTATTTCTGGTTTTTTAAATTGTAAATTTATGCTTGTTACAATAATTGCATATCTTTTCAGAGATTAGTGGTTTGTTTAGAAGAGAGCTTGTACATTCACAACATCCGTGATATGAAGGTTCTTCATACCATCCGAGAAACACCCCGAAATCCCAAGGGTATATGTGCCCTATCACCACACAATGAACGTGCATATTTAGCATACCCTGGCAGCATTCAGGCCGGAGAGGTCCAGATATTTGACACAGTTACCTTGGTGCGTATGTATTCATAATCTATGTAGTGGCAGAACTGTCATGTCCCATATGCTTTTTTAACATTATACTGGAGACTGAATATAAAATATGTATATTTGTTGAAGATATGAGAGCCGAAAGTTATAATAAGATTACAGAAGTCTGTAAGACAGATAAAAATCAGTTCAGGAAAAATAAAAGAATCATAAATACTTTCCTGATGAAAGGTTATATTGTTCTATAGAGAGGCTTGCACACTGTATGTCATAGTGGAGGCCAATACTGATATCTTCTATGCACCTGTAATTGACTATAGAGGAAGTCCTTTGATTGTGTCCCAGCCATCTGTACCTTTGGGGACTGAGCATTATGAAAACCATTATAATAACTGGTCCTAAATATTCACACATAATTGAATCAGGGACAGGAGAATAACTTTACTTCTTCAAAGGAAGGTTGTCATTCAAGCAGAATACACCTTCAAAGAGAAGCAGATTTGCTGTGAAAACTTTACTGATGTGTGACTTCAGAACTGGGTACATTTTAGATTTTATTCTGGACACTGGTGTGAGCAGTGATACTGGTGGGGGGGCCGCATTAGTGCAGTCGTAAGGAGACTCATTTTCAAATCCAACTGCGACTTGCTGCAGCAAATGGCCTGTGTTCGAAACCGGGTGGTTTTCGGGGTTCACCCAGCCTCTAGGAAATGGGTACTAAAGTTAACACTCTGGGGTGAATGAAGGAATGTCGTCAGAGTTGCGTGCATCCGGCGACACAGGCGGACAGTTTCTTATCAGCTGTCCATACTTGTGGCAGGGCACTTATGGTTTATAACCGTGTGCAGTGACGCTGGTTCACATCTTCCGACTGTACCTTTACTATTTTTATGTGAGGATGATGGTTCAGGAAAGAATATTTCAGCTAACTAAAACAAGACAGATCAATGTTTGTCTTAGGCGTGAAGTAGTATTCAAGATCTAAAAACTAATGTTGAAAACATTGAAGATTAGGCTGGGCTAGGACATCCAGTTTCTGTTTGTAATGATTAACTCATTGTCAGAGTCAGAGAACAGATGTGTGAATACCGATGTTTGACTGTGAGGAGGAAGGCAGCTGAATATCATATTGAATTTGAAAAAAATGTTCATCCTCATAAACTTATCTCATCAATTCAGTTGTCTCAAGAGCACTTTTCTAAGTGTGAAAAAGAATTAATGTTCACTCTTGGCTCCATGCTGCCTACATAATGAAAAAACTGTGACTTGCTAAATAAAATAGCAGGTTACTTCTGGTCTGCTGACCAGGCGGTGTTAGTTTTACCAGACCATTGATGAATGGTGCCCGTTTGGATGAAATTGCTTTGCTTCGTACATGGAAGTTTTGTTTTGGCCATAATAAAATCAGTCTCATTGCTTAATTGCCTTACTGTGTCTAACAGACAGAGGACCGTTGATTTCAACACAGTTATCTTAATTATTAGACTTAGATGGATTTAGGCAAGAGAGTGAGGTCAATGAATTGCGCAACTCTTCCTCACTTAAATCAAAGTCACAGCGCAAGTCATCCTTTCATCCATCCCTCAACCTTTATCACCAAGTCCTGTGGCGATGAGCTAGCGGTGAAGCGGCAGGCATGGGTACGCTGGCAGTCGTAGTTGCAGACTCACACACAGGCGGCTCAGGCCATATGGTCGCTTTTCACAGCCATCTGCACACTCATAAAACCTGACTCAGACACCATTGTATGAAAGGAGTGGTCATCATCACTTGTGATGAACGAACAACAACAACAACAATCTAAAATGTTGTCTAGTAATAACATTTAAAATAAAATAATAATAAAATGATATTAAATGTAACATTTAATTGTAATATTTGATGTAAACAAAAGTTTGTTCCATTGCTGTTTTAGTTTCTTGTCTTTTAGCGAGCTGTCATCAATATATCTGCTCATGATAACCCACTGGCTGCTGTTGCATTTAACTCACAAGGAACACAGTTGGCTACAGCCTCAGAAAAGGTTTGTTTGATAATTATTATAGTTTTAACATTTGTCTTCTCACTTTAATGTTAACTTTTGTTGTTGGAGTTAATTACCATATTTAAACATTCTGAGTAACTTAGTGACCCTTATTTCTTTTTCTAGATATTCAGTGAAAGTCTGTATTTGTGTGTGACATTGGCTGATCTTTATGTTATTTTTTTGTTTGTTTGAAATTACCAGATTTAAATAAAAAAATGTCCTTTCCTTTTTTGTTTGGGTGATTTGAATAATTATTTGTCATTGATCTGCACAACCAGGTGTTCATAAAAAAGAAATATTTAATATCTCATGCATGTTGTTTATAATGAACCCACTAACTACCGTGGCCGTTAAATCTTGCTCTTTTCCTGAGACCATGTATTTTAGTGTGTGCTAAAAATGCCATTAAATTCCATAGCTTCACAGCTATTTGACATAAACTTATAAATATTTTGTATTTTTGCACCAAATTGAATGGAGAAAAAAATGTCAACAACAAAAACTGTCAACAACAAAAACTGCATAATCTTGTTGGACATCGTCATCATCATCAGGTGGCTGTAGATTGGTGCCCAAAAAAAAAAGACAGCCAAAATGTTTTCTGGCAGCAATATAGACCTAACGAAAATTCAAAAGCTTCACAACTATTTTACATAAACTCATAATAGTTTGTTTATTTTTTATTTTTTCACCAAATTGAATAGAGAACACATTTGCAGAATACAAAACTGAGTAATCTTGCAGTACATCATCATCATATGTAGATTAGCGCAAAAGGGGCGACCAAAATATTTTCTGACACAGTTAAAATTTTTTTTTTTGTTGTTGCTGAAATTATCTTGAGTGAGAGCTTTGCCTGTGCCATTTTGCACCAAGAATTTCTGATACAGTATGACTGAATTGTCAAACTCAAAAAGGTACAAAAATTATCTTTTCCCCAAACGTGCAGCACAGGAATGGCACCCCGGTAAACATCGAGGATTGCATTGGGAAATGATTTTCACTAAACTCTAAGCCACAGAGCCATAATTTATACAATTTATACTAACAGACGCATCTAAGAATACACACCTAAACCACACACATGCAACAGTTTACACGAACTAATGTAACATACCACACCTATCTCCGACTGCTATGCCACTACTGTAAGTGAAACGTTGTCTTCCAGTTTTGATGTTGTTTTTGATAACAGTTGGTAAGAATTATCAAAGTCACAGTCATCAGACTGTTCAGAAATATCTTCACCTTCACTTTCTGATTGAAAACAATCCAGGCAATATCCCACTGCATCAGAAATATTCGCCAAACTTTTCTACCATGCCAGCCCTAACGATCAGCTCCATTATCAAAACACAGGATGAATGAGTCATCGACATGGAAGCTCACCAAAAAAATTCATGGACAATTTGCTTTAAGCACTACTTAACCCTTTTAGCACGGGAAGTTTTTCAGAGGTCTAGCCAAAAACACGGAGCATTTTTTCAGTGAATTTGGTTATTACTTTATTTAATTTTTTTGACAGATTTCTGTTATTCTGACCCCCATGAAATAATATATCTATTTGAAGGATATAGATTGAAGTTTATGATTTTCACAATATCGTTAAAAATTAATTGATGTATATGCAAATTATCTCATTTGCATATCTAAAAATAGAACATTTGAATTTGAATTTTCAACTTCAATGCTTGAAACATAAAACTAAAAACAAAATTTTTTTTTATTTGAAATCTTTTTATTCATCTTTGGCCTTTTTGCAAATGTTGTAAGCAATTCAATTGTCAAAAACAGGTATATATATATATGAAACAGCAATAATATCTTTAGGTGTCATGTGTTTTTCACTATCAGTCAGCACAAGAAATGGATGTGCCGGAGTGTCAACACCTTCGGGTGGATATATCCTGAGCCATGGTTGGGCTGTGACTGAACACAACAGCGTCCCCATCTGATTCCCACTATTACTACTAACACTAAATCCTGCATCAGTATCAACAGAATTAATGTCATCACTTGATTCAAATGTTTTATCAACATCAAGTTTAGGGGCAGAAACATACGAGTCAGACATACTTTTAGCGGTTCAGGTCACTATCTAAAAAATTCAACAACAATTTTCACTTCGATACCAAACACTCTAAAGTCGCCATGTGTAAAGCTGATACAGCAGTTAATATAAATGAATCACTTATAGTGTTTCAAAATGGGAGATTTCTTAGTGCTAAGAGGGTTAATTGATTCCCTTAAAGAAATAAAAAGAAACAAATGAACTGACGGCTTCAACTGCATTCATCGCAATAGTCACAATTTTAATACAGCGGTGAGCATCCAGAGTTAAAATTGCAGGGAATTCAGTCGTGGTAGTCAGCTGTAAAAGGCGGTGGATCGCATAATGTGTGATTGTGGTAGTCAGTGCATTTTGTTTTTGATAATTAACATTTTTGATCACACATTCACAGAAACCACAGATTATAGTGTGTGCTAGAAATGCCATAGCTTCACAACTATTTAATATAAACTTATAAATAATTTTTATTCTTTGCACCAAATTGAGCGCAGAACAAATTTCAAGAACAAAAACTGTTCGATATCATCATCATCATCATCATGTGGGTTAAAGTGGGTTATTTTGTTTTTGAGAAATTGAATATTGTTTTGTGCATTTGTATTTTTTCTCTTACTTGTGACAGGGTACAGTGATCCGAGTGTTCAGCCTTCCTGATGGCGCTAAATTATTTGAATTTCGCAGGGGTCTGAAAAGGTTGGTTGTCTGTCACATCTAAGCCCTTCCCTCTCAGTTTGAATAGCAAATACTTATTCATAATTCAGTGCACTTTTTTAAAACACCTATTATCATCTTCATTCTGTTGTGCTGTAATAGGACTGAACAATTATTCTTCCATTCCATTGTATCCTGTGTAATTTTTTAAATATTGTGTATGGAATCCAGTCACTTTGGCCTATTTCAATATTGTGTATAGAATCCAGCCACTTTGGCCTATTTCAATATCGTGTATAGAATCCAGCCACTTTGGCCTATTTCAATATCGTGTATAGAATCCAGCCACTTTGGCGTATTTCAATATTGTGTATAGAATCCAGCCACTTTGGCCTATCTCGCCAGTGTTTCTTTTAGGATTTCTCTTTGATGTCCTCGTTTCCTCAGTTCAGTTGTTGCCCATTTCAGTGTCTGTTTGGTGATTGTTCGCTTATAGACTTAGCAAATATATTTTTCTTAATAATATAATAATTAATAATGTATTTTTAAATTTCAGCATAGCTAAATATTTTGGAGTACACTGTGATAGTGAGAAAGTTGAAAGGGAAGAGGACGTCCATGTGTTAAGATGGTAGACACTGGCATTATCTTCTTCTTCTTCGCATTCACCAGCTGTGCACTCTGGCGTAAAGTTCTAGTTGTCCGTCCACTTCTGGACTGCAGTCCTGCTCCAGAACCTGAGTGTTGCGTGTGCATCAGTTTTACAGATCTGATTCAATTGAATGTAGACTGCTGGTTCCTTGCCTCTCAGGCAGATGCACTCCGACTTCAAAGGAAGCTCCCCAGTTAGTCGACTCTTACGACATGCTTTTGGGGAGGCAGTGGGTCTATTCTTGTTTTCCCCACAATAGGGCCCCGGAACCCACACGGGGGACTGGCATTATGTTATGGAGGATAATCCATGTCAGAAATGATTGACAGTACACAAGGCAGAGGGCTGTGCACAGACATGACTATCAGCCCCACATGGCATGGACTATACAAAAAGAACATTTTTGGACCTGAAATGAGTTTTAACCCTGTTGCCTTGGGAAGCTGCAAAACCGATACTTCCAGTTGGGGCACCTTCCCTGTAAATGTCACTTTTACGGCTTATCTATAGTGATCTGTTTACATATAGTTACTGCTGTTAGCTGTGTCAACGCCTACAAAAACATTTATGAGATTAGGATCTGAATATATTAACTTAAAATAGCATTTTAAAAGCCAAGTTTACTTAATATTTTTCCTGCAGGGTAACGGGGCCACACCGTGAGTCACCCAGTAAATATATTTTGTAGGCCCTCGGAAATGTATTTCTTCTAATGCTTCACTCTCTTCCTGTTTATTTATTACTTCCTTTGTATATCTAAAAATTGTTGGGGGGAAATGTACATAAATAGATTTTTAAAAAATTAAAAAATTTTATTAGCATAGAAACCCGTGTACAATTATTTCTAAAGGTTTTTCTTTTTTAAAGAATTTCCACTGCGTCATGACCCATTTTTGTTATTAACTCGCGCAAAAGTGTTAAATAATATGCATGTTACTTTTTAAATTAAAAATTTATATTCAGAATCATTACATGTGAAGTGTTACTAAAGTTTAAAAAAAAAAAGTTAATTAAGTACCTTCATGCGCATTGGGCATATAAGGCTAGACCTATATTTCGTAGAGCAATCAGCATTTGGTGGGTGATGGGGTCAACATCATGCCGGTGGCCTTTGCTTCCCAGGACTGCACCTGGTACCTACTGGTCAAGAATAATTTTTTAAAGAAAAAACCTGGTTCTGTCAGAACCCGAACCCACAACCTTCTGATCCGCAAGCAAGCGTAGTATTATTATTACTTGATCAAAATGTTCACTGTATTTATTATTTTGTTGTTGTTGTTGTAGTTTTGTATATTTGCTTCCTTAAGTGCACATTCCTGTTTATATGTTTCAGGTGTGCAGATATACAGTGCCTGGCATTTAGCATAGATTCCCTTTTCCTGTGCACTTGCAGCAATACAGAAACTGTGCACATCTTCAAACTGGAGGATCATAAAGAGAAGTATGTAGCACCTGAGATAAGTCTTCCAAGAAACTGATTTTCTTCTTGAGTATCTTCTGTGTATGTAGCCTTCTGAGATTGAAAGGTCTTCTTCTTCTTCTTTTTCTGTCAGAAAACTTATATCAGGAGGCTGGTAGCCTTTAAGAAGGCTGTCGTGCAGTCCATATCTTGTGTACCATTGTGGTTGGAACAGGTCAGATTGCGTCTCTGTTGTCAGCATACAGTTGACAGTGTTGGAGCACATGCTCAGCATTTTCGGGTGCCACGCTGCAGGGACACGTCTCCATGTTTCCTACACCGAAAAGTTTTAACCTATGTTGATGAAGTCTGTTGTGCCCTGTCCTTAGACTGAATATAACGCATTGTCCCTCTCTAAAGGGGCGATGAGGCCAGTCTTGGGGAGAGAATTTGGTGTGTAAATCCAGCCACCTTTCTTGGATACTATATTGTATTATTGTCTTAGTCTCTTGTTGGGTTAAGTCACTATTTGGTTGTACCATGTCACTGCCACTTTTGGTTATTTCATTGCCTTCCAAGCCACAATGAGTAAATTGTATTGTATGTTCAATTTTAAATGACAAAAAGGAAAATAATTGGGGGAAAAAAGCATTGAAAGATCTTTTTCACACTGTTGGTGTATTGGACAAATGGGGCTAGACTTGTATTTTTATCGACCAAACTGCACTCAGTGGTCAGCATAGTTTCAGCCACTGATACTTCCCAGGACATTGTTTTCCTATCTGTTTTAGTAAGTTAGTTAGTTAGTTAGTTGAGGTTTCAACATCACCGCAATCGGGTTTCCCCCATACTTGCTCCGTTTCTGTGCCAGTGCTAATCAAATGAAATGTCTCCCACTGTTGCGTATGAAAAACTGGTGAATAAACAACCAGTTGCGGAACAATTCAGAAATATGTGCACGCAGTAAATGCCTACTTCAGTTGCTCGAGGCGCCAAAGCCAACAGTCGCAACCAGAAATGCAGTTTGTCGTTGATGGAAGGGTGCTGTTCACGGTAACCTTGACGTTGACCTTTCCTTCATAGTTTTTTCTGGGTCACAGGGGTGTGAGTATATTCCGTCCGGGACATTACGTTGATCACTAAATGGCGCAATGAACAGCGACACATCGCAACATCGCATATTGTCGGTGTTCCTGAAATAATCTAGAATTAGGTCACACCTCTACGCCCCTGAGCAGTCCAATGATTTATGAATGAAACAGCATGCAGTGCGTAACCTAATTTAAATGTCACGGTTATCGTGAACAGCACCGATAGAAATAGTCGGGCATGATAAGTTGGTTAATATATACACCAAGAATAAGGTATTTCACCAGCACACACATAAACTAGCCACCGGTCGAATCGGACAAAATGACAACAGCTGCATTACCGTCCTTATGTGGAAACTGCATTAGCAAAGTGCTGTCGGAAGCAAAAATAACTTCGAAGCTTAACATTCTGCCAAGCCTTTCCTCCATTTTGGTCGGGAGTCAGTTTTAAGTTGGGTTGAGTTGAGTTTCAAGAATCTATCATAGGATATTCCCATTAGCATTCTGACCCCATCTTCAGCAGCCAACAAAGGGTTCCACTCCAATGATACCAGTAGTTTGATTGTATGTCTGTCTTGCTTTTCCTCTAAGTTGGGAGTGTCGGCCAGATCCCCTGGTCACTTCCCCTTGCCCAATTCTTTTCAGACTCTAATTATCTTAGAGCTTCCGCTCTGTTCACTCGCTTCCAAAGGGCCTTGACAGCATCTAACTTGTCATGCATCAATGTATCACTGAATGTTGTGAAACCAGCCAGTCTTTCTGCATGTTCTATGGGCTGGATCGGCCTGCACCCAAGTGTAAGTTATAAAACATTTGCCTTGGTACTGAGTTCAGCCCAACACCTTTAGGTGAGTAATACACAAATACACCGCAGGATTTCACTAGTTTGTCGTTTTCTTCTGCTTGTTCCAAACAGATCTCAAGAAGACACATCCTGGATGGGCATTCTTAATAGTACTTTCAGATCATCTGCCAGTTACCTCCCTGCTGGTATTTCAGACGTCGTATCTCAAGGCCGATCCTTTGCCACAGCTCGTCTGCCACATGCGGGGCTGAAGAGTGTCTGTACTATTGTATCGTAAGTATCACATTTGAGCTGCCACTTAATACTGCAGGTTCATGCATTTTTAATGTGTAGTTGTGTTTTCTTCTTCACTCCTTCTTACAACTTCAGATTATGGATGCAGAGGTTCTCAAACACATGTGGTGATTCACCAAGGTCAGGGCTCATACTGTTAAAGTTAAAAGTAAAAAAAAAATAATTTAATGATCCTTTTCCACACCTTTTAGGTATATAGGGCTAGACCTATATTTTACATACCAGTCAGCACTTGGTGGGTGATTTGGTCAACATCATGCCAGCGGCCTTTACTTCCCAGGACTGCACCTGGTACCCACTCGAGGCTGGGTCGACCTGACAATACTGTTCAAGAACTGTCTACATCTCTGCATGGTTATCCTAAAAACAGGTCCTCAGCTGGAGAGAGAGAGAGGGGGGGGGGGGGGGTTTCATTTCCTTCTCAGTCAGTGCATCTGCCTGAGAGGCAGTAAAACCAACAGTTTGCACACAAATAAACCATGTCTGTAATATAGATGTGCTTGCAGCACTCAAGTCCTGGAACAAGGCCAAAGTTCAGAATTTTACAGTGGCGCGGTGATTTATGTCACAGGCGTGAGGGGAAGTTAAGTCCAACATGATGTGTATAAGGAGATACTCCGTACGTCACTCGGGCGCCAGTCCTTCACTATCCTGGTTGTACGGAACCTCACGCAAGACTCCGGCAGCACGTCCTCGTCGTGCGCCACGGATAATGTCTCAAATGAGCATTAACAGAGCTGTCAGGGGATCTCGGAGTTCGGCGGCCCCCAGAGGTGATGTGTCCTTGTGGCCCTCATCAGCCCGCCCCCAAACGCTTGGGCGAAAAATGTTATCAAAACTCATAAGGAACATGAGTAGGTTTGCCAAACGTACAGCCAAAATTACAACCCTTGGTTAAAAGACTGCGGAGTAAAGAGAACATTGTTCACTGCACATCCTCTGTTAACCCTCAGTGTCGTCGTCACCGCGCTGAGGTACTCCACAACAGCAACCATCCATAGGCTGGCCATCCTTGTACATCCTCGGTTAACCCTCAGTGTCGTCGTCACCGCGCTGAGGTACACCACAACAGCAACCATCCATAGGCTGGCCATTCATGTACATCCTTGGTTAACCCTCAGTGTCGTCGTCACCGCGCTGAGGTACACCACAACAGCAACCATCCATCGGATGGCTAAGTCTAAATGTCCGACAAAACTAGATCATATGGATCAAAATCTGACCATCAAAATTTGTATTGAACTGAAAAAGACCGAATGTCCACACCCAAAAACCCCACTCGCCCGAGTGTTGGGACAAAACTGATAACGATATGCCTGATGCAGGATGTAAAATTCTGTCGGGCTAACGGCTCGTCCAAAGAAATCTAACGTGCGAAGAAAAAAGAATGTACCTTTCTGTGTGGTCACAAAAGTCCAAAACCCACGGGCTGCTCCCCGCTGACTTCCAGAGTGCGCAGCCCCTGTCGAGCGGGAGGCCTGATACGGTTGTGAGGTTAAGCAGGCATGTGCAGGACGTGACGATTCCATGGGTGAGCCCAGAACCAGAGCGCCATGTGCCGGCTCTGCATGCATGGAAGCCTCCTTGGATGGCGGGGAATGCCCATGATCTGCCCCTGCCTTCCCTTGAGGGCTAACTGTTTCACAGGGGGCTGCCCCAAAGGGGTACTCTGGGGGCAATACCTGCGGCGAAGGAGACAAAGTGGACACCACACAAAACAATGGCCACAGTCACCCTAGAAATAGGCCTGACGTCTTCCTTCGAAGTCGGAGTACAGCTGCCCATGAGGCAGGGAAATGAAAAACGGTTGTACACGCAAAAATCAGGTCCAGGTGAAAGCCAAAAGTCCAAGCGGACGATTAACCGGGACCTTCCACTGGAATTCACAGCCGGTGATCGATAAAAAAAAAAAAGAATTTTACACCTGGAACAAGGCCAAAGTTAAGAATTTTACACCTGGAACAAGGCCAAAAGTTGAGAATTTTACGATCAACCATGACTTTCATACTTTCTTCTGGAGTTTACACCTGGGGAATTTGAAGAAGAAGAAGAAGAAGAACAAGCTTATCTCAGACATAGACTGGATACTGTTGTAAGATTTATATGATATTTTGTCACCTCGTTCTTGGTCTTCAGTTATACACTCCTTTATGCACCCCTCCTCTTCTATGTGTGTACCTAGCATAATATGGCATCACAAAGCATTTTCTCTAAGTAGGTAAACAGTTCTGTTTGTTGCCTTTGTATACATGTCATATTGGTTTTATGCTGATTTCTTTCTCTTCTGACCTCCTCCCTGGTTGTGTTTTAATGATGGTTATTTTAATGTGCAAACGACACAGATTGTATACAGTTGTATCTAAGTGTCTGATACATGCTGCCACTTCATATTGCAGGTTCATCGTATTATTTGTCTGTATACTGTATGATATTTTACAAATACATTATTTTAAAATGTAGATCTTTATTAATGCTTTGAAAGCTCTGTGTTCAGAATTTGCTTGTAATTTTTTTTTGGTGGGGGGGGGGGGGGGGGGGGGGAGTTGTGGTGGTAACTAATACCCAGTTTGATTGTGTCTGAACTGGGCTTATTCTAATCTGTTTGCACTTGACATTAAATTTCCAGCTTCATTAGTATCTATCATATTGAACAAATCTGTTTACAGTTTACACAAAGTTCCCAGACTCCTAGTGGCTACTTATGAAGGCCATCTGTATATTTACAACATTGATCAGAGCGAAGGTGGTGAATGTTCATTGTTGCGAGCCCACACGTGAGTACCAGTATTCTCTGCTGACTGTTGTTTACTCAGTAGTTGTGATTGTCTTTGTTTTATTTGAGTCTTTTGTGACTTCTAGTTTGATAACTTTTCTTAGCTGCTCATTTTTCAATGGATAAAGAAATGAACCCTCTTGCCCAGAGAAGACCTAAATTTGGTCACTTCCAATTGTGACACAGTCTCATAAATGCCAGTATATCGACCTGTCTGCAGTGCCGCATTCTCGAAAAAAGTAGTGAAATTCCATTGGTTCTACATGAGCCTGCCAGAGATTGAATAAAGCAGGTAAAAATAGTATTGGTGATGGGGTGAGGGAGGTTATTTATGACTCTGATGACTTTTTTTTAAAAACCAAGTTGATGTCAAATTTCCCCATAAGCCTCAATGATAGAGGTCACCGTGTAACAGTATGAGTCAGTATACATTATTTTGTTTTTAGGCTCAGGGGAATGTATTCCGTTTAAGATGTGACTCTCTTAGTGTTTATCGATTACGCCTTTTTAGATCTTTATGTATTTTGAAAAACATTTTTAAATGTACGTAAATAAAGTTTAAAATATTTGTATTAGTAACCTATCTAATATGTTTGTTTTTTATGTTTAAAAAAAATGTCCCTTTTGTTTTGAATTAATGTTTTTTTCTGGGAATTACCATGGGGTCATGACCCATTTTTTTTAAAGCCTTTACTTAATGACTTTAGTTAGAAAATCCGACCATTCATAATTAAACCTGTAAAGAGCAAGGTAAAAGTTAGTTGGGGTTTATACTTCATTGGGAGATAATAGCCCAAAAAGAAAAAGAGGTGAAGTAAGCTGCATGAGTTAGTTGGAGCTTATGTTTCTTTGGGAGATGATAGCCCCAGAAGAAGAAGAGGTGGAGGAAGCGGCATGAGTTGGCTGGGACTTATGCTTCATTTGAAGATGATAGCCCTAGAAGAAGAAGAGATGGATCGAATCGCAAGAGTTGGCTATGGCTTATGCTTCATTGGGAGATGATAGACCCAGAAGAAAAAGAGATGGAGCAAACCGCATGAGTTGGCTAGGGCTTATGCTTCACTGGGAGATAATAGACCCAGAAGAAGAAGAGATAAAGCAAACCGCATGAGTTGGCTGGGGCTTGTGCTTCATTGGGAAAAGATAGAACCAGGAAAAGAAGAGATGGAGGGAGCTGCATGGGTAGGGGCTTATATTATTTCATTGGGAAATGATATCCATAGTAGAAGAAGAGATGGAGCGAACTGCATGAGTTGGTTGAGGACCTATGTTGCAGTGGGAATAAAGCACAAGAGACGACGATATACCATTTGGGTCACTATGTTGACACGTATAGAACCTCTGAAGTCTGGCCCATTTACTGCCTGGTTCTTTATTCTCATTAATGTTCCCTTTTGAACATAGCAATCATTAAACAGTTGTATGAAGTAAATTTATAAGTAAATGTTCCTATACACACCATTGCACATCAGGGATTTTTTTAAATTTTGAATTTGAATCCAAAGTAGCCAGTCAGAACGGACACATCCTTACCTGCAAAGAACTTCAAGGCACATGGGTAGTGCGTGGTGTAACTGTTATGAATGTCATAATTGTAAGTTCTTCAGAGGTCAGATATGGCATATGGAATTTGTCTTGTTGGTTGACCGTCCAAGATTTGACTCTTGGCATTGCAAGGATTGTTAGGCCTTCAGGTATCAGCAGAGGGGGAAAATAGACAAAGTGGGGAAAGATGACATATAGTCCTAAGGCAGCATTTTATTCTTTGAGATATTTCCCTTATTGAAGCTGCTTGTTATTCTTACAGTTTGATTGGTCAGTCATCTGAACCCACTGTCCCTCTGGAAGAAAGCTCTAGTGATCGACCTCTTGCGCAAGCAGGAGCATCAGATGAAGCCTCATCACTCTATGCTACAGCTGTGAGGAAGCCCCAGACTTCATCTTTCGCAAAGGCTGTGGCTCCTACAGGTAAGCCCCCTGCCCCGCTGGTGGCTCCCCCCGGTGAACAGTTGAGTGGCAACAAGAGTTACGCAGATATGTTAAAAAGGCAGTGCAGTGGGGGCCCCCAGGAGGCGAGCGTGGACGTTAATCCCTCATCCATGATGGATGATTTGATAGCAGAACGAGGTAATTTAATTTTTTCCTACGCCCGTAGGTCTTGTAACCTTCCAAGCACTGTGCATTTAGTGCAGATCTAGACTGTTTTAGTGTCACTGTTGAGTTTTCATAATTCCGCATCCATGACAGATATTTTTAAACAATTAAAGTTATTTGTTTTGGTTTTGCTTTTTATAGTTTAGCAGTAGAAATGCAGTATAGCCTTTGCTGTTTTGGGTTCTGTACTGTTGGCGTCTAGATATGTTCTAGTCTAAATCTGAGCATCTGTGTGTGCATTTTGGTTTTCCTTTTTTTTTTTTTTAATACCAAGCAATTCACCAGTATACATTTATGGTTAATCCAGGTAAAGTCCTGAGAATCAAAGGCGGCTGGCATGACATGATTGCCGATTGATTGCCATTTGGTCTTGAAAAACATCACATGCTTGATGCACCATTGGTGTCAGCAAGGTTCTTTGCTTACTACTTGACTTACCAAGTAAAGTACGTTTCTCCTATTTTTAAACCATAGAGTAAAATCTTGCTAACACACTTAAGACAAACACTCAGTTAACTGACACAAAAATGGGGGTCCCAGCAGGGATGTAATATTCATTGTAGATCTTTTGGTCCCCGGTTAGCACACATTTTTTTTAACACTCCTTACTCTTGAATTTTCCAAACCTTCTAATTGATGTTTACTGTATTATAAACATTCACTCGGTCCAACGTCTAAGCTGAGCTCCTTGTCATTCTCTGTGTTATTTTAACTTATTCAGACTCCCCAGATACTAACTGATCTAAATTTTAGCTTATTATTATATAAACAGTTGAAGAAATTTGTTGCTGGTAGTGGAAATGTTAATGTTTATGTTAATGTAATGCCTAATATATGTGAATCTGATAGTTAGCAAAGCAAATCTCCCTAATAGTTAGCAAATCTCCATAATAGTTTGCAAATTTTCCTGATAGTTGGCGGACTTCCTTAATAGTTAGCAAACCTTCCTAATAGCTAGCAAACCTCCCTAACAACAATGAGCAAATCTTTCTGACCATTAGGAAATCTCCCTTATAGTTAGCAAATTTCCCTAATAGTAAGCAAAACTCCCTAATAGTTAGCAAACCTCCTTAATAGTTAGCAAATCTCCCTAATAGTTTGCAAACCTTCCTAACAGTTAGCAAACTTCCCTAACAGTGAACAAATCTTCCTAATAGTTTGTGTGAATTTCTCTGATAGCAAATCTCCCTAATAGTTTGCAAACCTTCCTAACAGTTAGCAAACTTCACTAACAGTGAGTAAATCTTCCTTACAGTCAATCTCGCTAATAGTTAGCAAATCTCCTTAGGGCGGTGCTGTTCAGCTAAGTTTACTTGGGGGCCACTATTTTTTAAAATAGGGCAAGAGGCCCGATCTATAGCATATAAACACAATACAACTGGTGATTTTCTATGGGTCACTTGCTAGCAAGCCAGATCGGTGGTCACTTGCTAGCAAGCCAGATCGGTGGTCACTTGCTAGCAGGCCAGATCGGTTGTCACTTGCTAGCAGGCCAGATTGGTTAATAGCCCTGCCCTAAGGGAAAGGAAAGAATAGTAACCAGTGGTTCTCACTTATCTAAGACCTTCAACCCCCTCTTATTATTAAAGGCCAGGCATGGACCCCATACTTTTCAGTTGTCATACTGAAGAACTCCCCTTTTTGTTTTTAATTTGACTCTTTAGCTAGCTCCTCTTTGTGGGTTTCTTAGTCTCCTTTTTTTTAAAAATAGTTTTTTTATTTCTGTGCCACTGTGTGTTTCAGTGCAAAGACATTCTAGTTATGTTGTTCTCATTGTGTGTCTGTCCAACACCAGCATCTTTACCTCACCTGTTGATTCATCTGAATTTAAGTTCTCTCCGAAAGCTCATCATTAGTGATTCTATCATGCCGTTAAATTCTCTCTATTCTGTGAATGTGTTTATCAGTTTAATGATCCTCAAGTACTAGGGATCGATTTTCACAGTGGAAGATTTAAAAAAAAAAATGTTTTCCTAGTTTTCTTCTTCTTCTTTTGTTCTTTTCTATACTCCTGGAATGCCTTGCGGCGTCAGGGCAGGAAGAGATCTCTGGGACAGGCCCTTCTGTTCGCTTTGTATATGGTACTTTTCAGTGTCTGTGATATTTGACAGTAAAAGAGTCTCGCTGTGAAAGAGATTAGGATCTCACCATGTAATATTCTCAAATACTGCGGAGATGCACTGTAGCCAGCCTTTATTCTTGTTCTTCTTCTTCTTCTTGGCGTTCACTGGCTGTAAACTCCAGAAGAAAGTTCTGGTTATTTGACCAACACTGGACTTTAGTTTTTTTCCAGAACCTGCCTGTTTTGTGTACATCTGTTCAACAGATCTGACTTATTTAAATGCAGACTGTAAGTTCCTTGCCTCTCAGGCAGATGCACTCTGACTTTGAAGGAAGCCCTAATTTAGTCTACTCTCTTTCGATATGCATGTTGGGGAGGCAGCCAATGGGTCTATTCTTGTTTTCCCCACAATAGGGTCTAGGAATCCACACGAGGAGCCTTCATTTTTGAGGCGGCACACAATTCTTTTTTTTTTATAATATAGGAGAAATATTGAAACTTGTAAATCCCATCTCATGTATAGATAAGTTTGCTGTCATAATTATATTTAGTTGCTGAAGCTTGCACAGGAAGTAGTTGATGAGAAGTGTATTCAGCTACTTCAGTGTTGCACCATTGGGTTTGCGCATTATTTTAGTTGATGGCTTCTGAGTGTTTGCACATATTTTGTAGGCTCAGTTGTGTGCTTGTTGGTGTCTGTAGCTTAGAGTTTATGAACACAGTTCATAATTCTGACTCACTGTAGAGTCAGTTGCGGACGATTTACTGCTTTGATTTTTAAACAATAACATGCGCATTAAAATGTTTAGAAAGCAATGGCAAACTATTCACAGCTCTTAGCTGTTTAGGACTGCAAGTTACACCTAGCTGGTGTAGCTGTTGAGGGTGTCCTAATGTTAACTTATTTTGGAGGTTGAATGGGGTATCTGGGATCTGAATTGGTGGTCTGCTGTCCAGATTTAGTTTTTAAATTTCAGGATGGATTGGTAAGCATTTTAAACATTGAGAGAATGTCTTTTGACAAAGAAGTAAATACTCTAAATGCAAGGTAGCTTAGGGGTCATAGAACATGAGACAGATCAAAATGACGATGGAGAGATAAAATCAGGACAGACCATCAAACACTTGGTGTCACCAACTGGCAAGAGAAGGCCAACCAGAGAGATGAGTGGAGGCAGATGGTATCTGCAGCAATGAACCTCAAGGGCTTGGAATGCTGAAGAAGAAGAAGATGGTAAACATTTAGTTATCAGCAATGATTATAATCAACAGTACTGCAAGCAGACATTTGTGATACAACTCTCTAATACTCTTTTTTCTTCCAGTATGTAATTGAACTTTAAATTTCTAATGTTATTTGTTTTGCTGCCAAGCTGTTTAAGCTTCCTGATACATCTTTTTCAGTTTACCTCTTTTCTTCTGTGTTAAAAAAAAAACTTTTTACATGAAGCTAATTTTTCTATTCCACCTTTTCTGTTTATATTTCTCATAAGCTTCATTAGTCATAGTTGTGGAACACTAACTGTATTCAGTACCCCAGCGTTTTTTTCTTCTCTTTCTTTGATAATCCCAAAATTCTTTTAAACTACAATGGCAGTCAAAAGTTTAATACCACACCTAGTAAATGATTTTTCCAGACTGTTACGGAGTATTGCCTCCTCTGCTATTTTAGGACCCGCTAAAGGATATTGCAGACTTCGGTGTGCTTTAAAATAACAGTTGATGGGTATTCTGTAAAAAAGGAGCATTCATCTAAAACCTGTTCAAGCTGCACAGAGTGTAATTGTTTGCGTAGAACATGATCATGTCGTAGTCATTCAATGAGAACTGACCAGCGAATAAAAGTGTGTGCTTATCGTCTCATGATGCATAGGTTCTGTCTCTGACTGCTGAGAAAATGGCAGAACTGATCCAAAATCCATCCAAAATGTGTTGGCAGTACCATCCCCTGCATTCCTTCCTTTAATGTTTGGTCAAAATCTGTAGTACCCACTGTAAACACAACTTCACATATTAGAGTTTCTAACAGACAGCCTTTTTGACTGTCGCATAATTTTCAGATATGTTCTACAAAGGACAAGAATGCAGGCGAGCATATACTTCAACAACGGTTCACTACTGCTGTATCAATTGTGTCGACCGTGTTAGAAAACACCCCACCATTGCCATATGTTATGATCTAGGACATGTGTGTACCTGTCTTTTCACATCCTAATAACACTGTTTACCTTGGGATTAACTTTAAAATTATCCCGAGAACTACGTCCAGAAAAAGCATATACCGCACATAACACTAGTTACCATGGGATTAACTTTAAAATTATCCCGAGAACTACGTCCAGAAAAAGCATATACAGCACATAACACTAGTTACCATGGGATTAACTTTAAAATTACATAAAAATACTGCATCCAGAAAAGTCATTTGTGGCATATACTTTCTGCATGCTTTGATAACAGCTTGCGTTTTTGAATTTAATGTGTGTTTATTTTGAAAGATCAACTTTGTTATTTGTATCAGTTAACATACAAAATAGTCTGGAATGGCAGTTACAGTTTGCATTGACTGAAGGCAGATTTACTAGCTTTAATTTATTCCGTACTTAGCAACTCTTGTTCTTCTTTTTCTTTGCTGCCCTTTATCCCCCACTGGAGCAGAGGCCCTTACCAACTCACGCAGGTCATCCTGTCCTTTGCTGTTGCATGCAGCTCACCCCATCATTTTACTAACTTTGCTCCATAATGTAATGGTTTTCCCTCCAGTTAATCAAAAGTCTTGTATTGTTTCATTCCAAAAGTAAAAGGGACATTTTCACACCATTGACCTACTGGGCATATAGTAAAGTAAAGAAGCCGTTTGACACTAATGGTGCATCAGGCACAGGATGCTAGACACACCCAGTAGGTCATGTGGTCAGCATCATACTGGATGTCTTTACTTCCCAGGACATTCTTTTATACTCCATATGGGGATTATTGAATCATTTAAAAAAAATATTCAGAAATTTTCTCAGGATAATTTCTTTTAACATTTAAAAGTAAATTTGAGAAATGTTAAGGTGTTTTATATCTTAGTACAGGAAGTCAACCCAACCTATAACTCACAAATTTCAAAGTCATCTTCACAGTTACTCCTCGAAAGAAACCTTCCATTATTCTTCATCAACTTTAAGCAGTTTTCTTGCCATTTTGTATAAATGAAATGTAGACTAATGCAAAAGCACAAATATGTTTCAGGGGACAAAATACATGGACCATTGACCATGCTTCCTTGGTAAAGAAAGCAACAGGGTAACCTGGAATGCCGTTCCTGCTAATCTAAACACACACCTAGACGCACATGATAGGGTGTTAAATCATGTGTAAATGGCACACTTGGATCCGATTATGGCTAGTGTATGTTACCATTTGACCCCAGAGAATAATGGTCCTTAGCAGTCTGTAATGACAATCAAAAACATGTTTTTATGTCCATAGCAGTGAGGGCCGAAAAACTGGATAAATTCCGAAGACATCCTTAGCAGTCTACAGGCAAATGACAAAATACGTCCATAGCAGTGAAAGGTTTAACAGCACCATTCAAGAAGATAGTTGTGTATTCTTTACAGGACGTTGCAGAACCAACCCAGCATTTTTTGGTTTTTGTGGTTTTTCTAGACAAATTTTAGATTCACTAGTTTGCCATTGCCTTCTGAAAGTTTGGCGCTTGGTACCACTGTCGAAACCAACACAAGAAAAATTTTCCGCGGTAAGGATCGAACCCTGCACCCCGGCATTACGAAGCGTGTTTGCAATGCCTAAGCCACAGACGCCAACATCAGCACCATTACACAACCCAAAAAAATCCTAGGATTATAGACGTTCATGGGACACATGCACCCCATGGTTATGTTGAATGTTGAATTAAGAATCGACATCACAGCACTCGGGACACTCCCATAAGTGCTCAGTCCCCATCTTCAGCAGCAAGCAAAGAGTTCCAGTTCTGATGGTACCAGTAACCGTCTGATTGTATATCTGTCTCATCCTTCCCCTGATTGTTGAGCGTTGGCCAGATCCCCTGGTAACTCCTCGCAGCGCCATTCTCCTTAGTCTGTAATGATCTATCTGCGCCTCCGCACTGTCACTCGCTCCCCAAGCGCTCTCACAATATCTAACTTATCATACATCAATTCACCACCAAGTGGTGCAGAGCCAGCCAGTCTACCTGCCTGCTCATTTCCCAACACACCGGCATTTTCCATAGTTATGAAAAGGTTAATGCCATACAAGTTGCTGCCGGTCATTTGCCACATTTTCATCTGTTGTTTTCATTGTCTGTTACTTCAGATTCTTTGCCTTACCAAGACCCACTGGATGGAGCTGTGGGGGGAGAGGAAACTCTAGGCGGACTTCGAATTCATGATGACAGCGAGTTCCCTCCCATGTCGCACAAGTCATTGTAACGGTGATGCAGTACACTCTAGTATCACCTACATGATTGGAGCCAAAGGACATGGGATCTTCACAGACTGTTATGACTTAAACTGTACTGTGGGTGCATTCCTATACAAATCAAGGGTTGAACTGTGGTATGAGAAATGATCTAAAACAAATGAAAGGTTAAACTAGATTGGGGTATGCACCTTAGTACAGTTTAAGGGGTATGTTAGATTGGGGTGTGTACCTTATACGGATGAAGAGTTGAACTGTCGACTTAGGTATGTACCTCATACAAATCAAGGGTTAAACTGTTGACTGGAATGTGTACCTTATACAAATCAAAGTTGAACTGTATTGTATTTGGGCATGTACCTTACATATGTGAAGGGTTGAAATAGAATGGGAGCTGGACCTCATGCATTACAAGTGTTAAACTGTAATGTGAGGTATTTATTTTATGCAGGTGAAGGGTTAAACTACGGTATTGGGTAAGCATCTCATAAAAATCAAGGATTAAACAGTTGATTGGGGAGTGTGCCTCTTTCAAATCAGCTGTAGTGTGGGGTATATCTTATGAAATGAGTGTTAAACCAGGACAAGCATGTAGAAACGGACTGCAGGGTAAAGAAAGAAGATATGACAGAGCTCCTACTGTGCACATTGGGCATGGAGGCGCTGAGGTGGCTGCTGCATCGGAGGACGGAGCACAAATAGGTCGGACCGATCTGCTGGGATGTCGATGTGGACAACAGGTATCAAGTATATGCGTAAAAGAATTCAAGTGTTAAACATGGCATCTTTTCCTCATACACATCATAAATATGATTAAGTAGCAAAGGGGATGACTATATATATATATATATACACACACACACGCACGCACACACACACACACACATATACACACACACACACATATATATACACACATATATACACACACACTCACATATATATATATATATACACACATAAACATATAAAACAGAAGTATCAAACAGTAGCATTCTCCATAATCACCAGTTGTTAAACTTTAACAAATGCAATGCTTCTGTTAAATATAAGTTAACAAAGGTTAAGTTAAAAACTAGTCCACAAGGATCGTGTGTAAGCATAACATGAAGTGATCAGCACTCAGTGAAATTATGTGCTGTGTCCAGACACCGATTGTTATATTTAACCATATTCTATATTTCTCTCTGCCTTTTTTTTTCTTCTTGATGGTGTATTGAATTTATTGACCCTTTTAACCTTTCTTATGCTGCCTTTTCTCTTCTGTCACCGTTATCCGTGACCTTTTATGCCTCAGTAGGGTTGAGGAATATTTTAACTTTCACTATCTTGTTTCGCTACATGGTGTTGGGGCTAGATGCTCGCCTTAGGCCCAAAGTGTATTTGTTCAAATCCTCATCGAGCCAGATTTTGGCAAAAATGACCGAGGCATTCAAGTCGACTCAAGCCTAAAATGGGTACCAGGTAAAGTCCTGGGAAGTAAAGATGGATGATATAATGTTGACCACATCACCCACTGAGTGCCGGCTGGTCTATAAAATTTACGTCTAGCTCTGTATACTCACTAAGCCTGAAGGCGGGAAAAAAGGTCCTTTACTTGACATCTTGTTTTCTATTCATTAGTTTCACAAAAACATCTTTCGGTTTGTAAATGTCAATTTCTGTTAGAATAAAACTGTGTGCCATCTCCACAGTGAAGTTTGGCTACAGTGCACCCACTGCCGACTTCAGGAATATTATAATATGTCATGAAAATGGTATATTTAAAAAAAAAAAAAATATGATACCAGTGGCTTTTTGAAAACCTGAGTTAATGTCAAATGTTCCCATAAGCCTCAGTGATACAGGTCATGGGATCACAGCTTGAGTCACCAGATTTGTAAAAATAATTTTTTTTACACCCCAGGGAATGTATTCCGTGTAATGTTTCACCCTGTTCATGTTTACTGAATACCTCTTTATGTATCTATATGTCCCCCCCCCCCCCTCCCCACCCAATAAAAAATTTAAATGCAGATCAATTTTAAAAAACATGTATTAGTAACCTGTGTAGTGTGGTTTCTTTTGCTTTTGTTTAAAGCAGTTTCCCTTGGAGATTCCTATGGGTTCATGACCCATTTTATTTAGCATTCTCGGGACGAACGGGTTGAGACAGCCCTTTTTTGTTAACTCATCCTTTAAGGACTCGTAAGAGCCTTTTGATTGGAGCTTCTCAATAAATATATATTAAAGTGCAAAGGTGATTGTTAACCTTTTTTCTTTTTTTGTGAGTATTTAAATGTCACTGTCCCAACAGGCTTGGAATCATTTTAGGAAGAAAACATTTTCTAGGGTTGAGACAGCCCTTTTTTATTAACTCATCCTTTAAGGACTTGTAAGAGCCTTTTGATTGGAGCTTCTCAATAAATATATATTAAAGTGCAAAGGTGATTGTTAACCTTTTTTCTTTTTTTGTGAGTATTTAAATGTCACTGTCCCAACAGGCTTGGAATCATTTAACTCTTTACGGACGTTTAGCCAGTATACTGGCGCTTAAGTCTATCCCTTAAAGACGTAAAGCCAGTTTACTGGCTCATGAAAGAGACACTCTAATTTTGTTCCGTTTGTAGAGTAAACAAACTTTTATGAACAAGTTTTTTAACAATTAGGATTAACAACAGGATGTACTTTCATTTGCGATGTTCATCGTGGTCGGTGCATTATTTTGTGATTTAAAAAATTATTTTGATGGGATACAATTTTTACGTGATTTTTCTATACTAAATGATAAGGGAAAAGGTCTAGAACTGTCCATACTGCTCTATCGTTGATGAATCCCTGCCAGATGGTGACAACAGTCCTGATATTATGATTTATATCTAAGGGACACATCTACTAGCGATAATTTAGTTTAGGATATGAAAATTACACAAAATATTTCAATTAGATCAATGTTTTGATCAGCTGTTTTTCCGATTTTCGGTTGTTGTGAAAATTGACATGTCATACAAAAATGATTATAATTTCCAAAGTATTTAAATTAATTATTTCAAATAAAGACTAGCTAATACATAATTGAACAGAGAAGACATGTGTATTCTTAGAATTGGATAGCAGTGTTGTTGAACCAGTAAAAAAAAGGTTAGCACACAATTTTTTTATTTTTAAAATTTGTATATGTGTCTAACATCCTTGATTGTTGTGTGATTTTTAAAATATTTTGATGTTAAACTGACATTTAAGCAGTTTAGATTTATTCTGCACTCATTTATCTTTAATTTGATATATTATAAGTCCCGATACAGCCTATACTTTTTCTTCAGGAAGGTTTTAGCTTTGTTGTGTTGCACTAAAAAAATTTCGCTTAAAATTAATGCTGTCCAAACCCCAGAAAAAATGCCGACCTAAAAGAGTTAAGGAAGAAAACATTTTCTAGGGTTGAGACAGCCCTTTTTTATTAGCTCATCCTTTAAGGACTCTTAAGAGCCTTTTGTTTGGAGCTTCTCAATAAATATATATTAAAGTGCAAAGGTGATTGTTAACCTTTTTTCTTTTTTGTGTGAGTATTTGAATATCACTGTCCCAACAGGCTTGGAATCATTTAAGGAAGAAAACATTTTCTAGGGGGCTGCGTGGTCTCGACGCATGGTGTCCGCCTCAAGTGCTAGAGGTTCCAGGTTCAATCTCTGGTAAGGGCTGGAATTTTTTCACGCAGACTTGGACTTCTAGTAATTCTCCCTGGTCTGGGTAGTGAAATTAGACGCCCGTGTGCATTGTTGCGCATATAACAAATCCCTTGGCAGTTGGAAACTGAAAAGAGTAGTTTTAAGAGTAGCCTAACGGCGCTGCCTGGGCCAAATTTGGAGTTGAAAATCTACCCAAAGTATTTCAGGATCCTCGCCGGTGCTACAGAGCCTGTGCACTGTGCTGAGCTTCTTCAGACTCAGACTTGAGTTAGCAGAAAAAGGGAACACTTATGGTTTACTACCTGAGTGTCATGATGTTTATCCGTTGTTAAAAACCTCAAAAAACATTTTCTGAGATTTCTTGCCATCAATTTCATGTTTCTGTGTTTCACCATTAAAAAAAGACATGAATGTTGCATTATATTTTTCATTTAAACAACAGAGCAATTTAGGAAAAATCAACATTCGAACTGCTGATAAATTTAAACATTTTATTTTTGGTATCGAAAACTAATATTATTTTTGTTTTTGCATTTGCATTTGCCTTTAAAAGTACATTTGACACACTGTGTTGCAGTTTTCACCTAGACTGTAATATCTGCACATTTGACACAATGCATTCGATTTTACTTTTTTAAATAATTAGTAGTTTATGCTTTGTGTGTGCATGTCCATGCATGCGTGCTGATGTGTGTGTGTATTTGAGGGGTAAGGGTGTTTTTTCCCCCTTGAATGAGTCTCAACACATACAGGGATAGCAAACAGTTGACGTCTGCTGTTTTATAAATAGAAATGTTAACGATTATTTGGTAAAGTAAAAGATTGATATGCATTACATTGAGAGAATATTTTGCTTAGTAAACGGTTGATTGACTCTTTCAGTTCGAGGGGTTTCAGCATCAGTGGCCCAAGTGGTGGTAGAGAGAGGTACAAAATTGGCGCTTGTTGTGCTGATTGGGCTTTTGGATAAGAACCTCTGAACCTATGATGCATTTATTGCGACTGAAAAAAAAGTTAATATTGTTTAGTGACTTAGGTTTATTTCAGTCACTAGCTGAATTTTAACTGAACCACATTGTTTGCCTTTAATGTTTTAAGAAATTGCATGAATATGTTTTTTTGTTTATTGTTTTTGTCTTCTGTAAAAGTAAAAGACGAGAACTTCCATGTACTTAATACATGCTTTGTAATTGCTATCAAACTGTTTCAGTTTGTGATTATACTTACTGTGTTTAGCATCTATGCAGTTTATTTGTCAGCTCTAAAAATGACTCAGTTATGTGTAAGTTTTTGCCATTATTGTTGTTCTCTGTGGCATAGAGGTCATGAACACTGTTCTGTAATTC